TTTTGATGATATTTTTATATTGAGATAAGTTACAAAGAACTAATCGTAACTTGATGTTCGTGTAATAAGTTTTAAAATCAAGCCGACATTTATAATATCTAGTTCAATAGAAAATGACATACAATTTATTAAGAGATAGTGACTTGAAAGGGTAATGGACTTTTAACTTTGTTTACATTTAATCACCAGATTTTTTTATTATTTATTTATCATTGAACTATTGAAACTGTTCATATTTTACCCTTATGATCGGTTATAAGGGTAAAATGTAAACAATTTTAATAATTCAGTGGCAAATAAATAATGAAAAAAAAATTAGTGATTAAATGTGAACAAAGTTGAAGTTTGTTTCCCTCTCAAATTATCCTAATATTTTACTCTTATTACCGGTCATAAGGGTAAAATGTGAACGATTTCAATAGTTCAGTGGCAAATAAATAATGAAAAAAAGTTTAATGACTAAATGTGAACAAAGTTGAAAGTTCGTTTCCCTTTCAAATTATCCTAATATTATACCCCAAAAAGGTATAAAAAAACGAATTATTTCATCACGCTCCTTAAGTTGTTCCTAGCTATTTCTAGATATTAAAGGCTACACAAAAAGTGTTTTGTATTTAGTTCATAAAGTTATATCAACTTAGTTTTGATCTTAGACACTTAATCTAATATCATGGGCAACCAATAAGGTGTTTTGATTTTATCTAAATATCGATGCTCAACTTCATGTTTGAGTTGATGCAAGTTAGTTCGAAATCTTTATGAACATGACATACTTAATGTAAATCCAATAGTTATTGATAATAGATTTAAAATTGATGTTGTTGCTTAATTTCATTAAAGATTCAACTTCTTTTTCTCTCTCAGATGTTGTTGGTTAGTTCGTTTGGCAGTTTCAATTTATATTTGACTTTGTATGTTTCCTGTACAAAACTGGCACTTTCAGTTTCAGCAACCGGTCCACATACCTTTGTATTTTCTGCAAGTGGTCGGTGATAGGTTCACCATCCTTCATTCGGGTTGTTATCATGGAGCAGATTATATCATACCTCTCTTGTCGAGCACTTTGATGATAGCGGTCCATTAAGTCTTGGTGCATCTCAAAAGGGTAATAGTCTTCATAGGACTTTTGGAGTTCAACTATTATGGTAGCCATCATGATACATGCCACTTTGGTGGCATTTCTTTCATGAGTCTGGAAGTCAGCGATCTCCTGAGGGTTAGTAGTGGACTCATCAATCTCCTTCAGCTCCTTATCAAGGAAATATTCCTTGTCCTCGTAGCGAGTAACCATCCTGATGTTCCGGATCCTATCCATAAAGTTGGAACCATCAAATATGACTCTCTCACAGAGGTTCATGAGAGAGAAGGAGTCGGTAGGGTTTGAGCCTGAAGCAGCGTTGTTGGAAGACATATTAAAAGAAGAAAACAAGTTTAGATTAGATATCAATATAGTCCTTAATAAAACACCCAAATGTAATATTAAGGTTAGGACCCAATCACAATATATTATAACTTAGAAAAGGGATGTCGTAATCTAACCTATAATATATTTAAAAGGTAGGTGAATGACGATTCACCAATTTCCACTATGAAAAACGAAACATAAGTTATTAGGTTTTAATTGTTTTTTAGAAATTCCTAGATTCTTTTGAGATTCATTGAACTTTTCAATGAAATGTTTCAATCTTGAGTATGCCCTTCATGTTTTGTGATTGGGATGCTGAGGATCACAAAACAAGGTGTAAAGTAACCATGCAAATTACTTGGTACCCTTAATGTTTTTACTCAATTGATGTGCCGGTTAACCACACGCACTCCACCGACCTAAGAAAAACCTTAAGTCACCTTTTGCCTACCTTGTTAAGTCCAAGTTAGTGTGCTGGTTAACCACACACGCTCCACTAATGACTTCATCAATGTACAAAGTGTAATTTCATGGATTAGCACCTTATTCACATTTTTCCTAAAGTAACTAAGATTGAGAATTAATAAAACAATAGTTACTTTATAATAATCATTATACTTTTAATGAGAATTTTTAATTTATTGTCCTACCCGTTCGACTAACAACCCTCCACCAGTCGAGGAAGCGGTAGGTGAGAGTGGACACCCATTAAGCTGTCATTTTATAGGCAACAACCTTATACCCCCCTTATAGACCGGATTCGTGAATGAGGCCTACTAACGCTAAAACGACTTGATCTTATATATATATATATATATATATATATATATATATATATATATATATATATATATATATATATATATATATATATATATATATATATATATATATATATATGTAACGCATGTGTTTCTGGGCTTGCCATTTTTAGCAATGAAATAGTCTAGGTTAACCTTTCTAACCCGTTTTGAAATAATAGAAGTGTATTATTTGACTATTATGTGTTTTGTGCTTAATTGCTTAATTATGTGGTTTGATTAACTAAGAATAAAAATAAGCATCAAAATTTAAGTGTAAAATAAACTCGATATCTTTAGATAATGTTGTAGTAGTTGAAACAAGGTTTCCGAAGATATAAAGAATGCCGAAATCTGAGTTATAACGAGGAAGTTATGACATGTCGAAGTTTCGCGACAGAACCGGCAACGCTGAATGACGTAAAAAGTGAAATTTACGTTAGAACGATAGTTAGCCTTAGTGATCTAAACGAGAATCGAAGATCTCGTTGTTAGTATCAAAGCAATAAAAAGTTAGGCGAGAACGGACGTCAAACGAAGAAGTTATGAATTTATAACGAAATTTTCTGTCCCGGCCTATTAAAAATCAATAATAAAAATAAATTCAAAATTAGCCGACGGAGTCTAAACGAAAGTTGTAGAGCGTAGTCTTACCTTCGTGTGGATATAAAGAACGTCGAAAACGGAGTTCGTATGAAGAAGATATAAATTTACGAAGTTTATTAAATAATTTGTATTTAAATTTAATTGAAAAATCCGGTATTATCCGAGGACGAGTCATCGGACTCATCCGAAGTACGCCCCGCTGGTGGTTGTTGAGGCCAACACAAATAATAACCCTAAATATTACACACTAAAATAGTGTATAGTGGTAAAGGGATCGAATCCACGGAGATTGGTTCAATTTATAACTCTATGTAAAAAATCTCTTTGTAAAAATACTTGTAAAATGACAATAAATATAAAATGGGGGGTTTTGGTGTTTTGAAACACTTGAAACAAACTAGAATTAACTATGATTTAAATAGACAAATGCAACAAAAATAAGAGTTTGATGTAAAATCAATAAGGGAGAGAAGGTTAACTTAAAGTTTCCTCACTTTGACTTTTGATGAACATATCATTAGATTCCAATGGTGCAATACTTTGATTTAAATCCTTAATTTGGCTATAGTAATCCAAGGAGCTTGAGATTACCTAGACTTTTCTTAATTGTTGAAATGGCTAGAGAAGCTCATAACAATTTCCTTAGTCAAAGTCACTAATTCCAAATAGCATGTAATTAGTGAAAGTCAACTAGCATTAAGAACCAAAAAGTCACCAAATCCAAGAAGGGTCAAATGCTTTCACCACCATGTTGGAGGAAAGGTTTTTATGATTGTGTGAAGCAAAAACAACACAAAAATCATTTGTTGCTTTCTAATTTGAGGATCCTTTACTTAATCAAGAAATTAACCAACTAATCACCACAAACACATTTAAACTCATGAACTAAAACATACAAGTAATGATAAGATGTTAAAACACAAAACATTCCCATAAAGATTCAAGAACATGTTCATGGATTCTTCAACATTCAACAAAAGTTCAAAGGATTAACCAAAAGTCAACCAAGATTAGCTTAGCCAAGCATGGCTAAACCCAAAGAAACAAACTTAGAGAAAATTATACCAAACATTAAGCAAGAATCAAGAGGTAAAAATATGATGTTCTTCAAGGGTTCTTGGCCTTCAAAAGTCTTCAAAACTCCAGAGAGAATCTCCAAAAATCGGATGTCTAAGAGTCTCCAAAAGATGGGCACCAACCTTCCTCAAATAGCCTTCCAAATGGATTTCCGAAATTACCCCTGCAGAGCCTTGCGCGACCCGCGTGCTGCTGCGCGGGTGGTGCCTGACATGGGCTTCTTTGAGATTTTGGGCCTCCGAAGCATATCTCACTAGCCCAGATCGAATCCAATCACCTCCTAGCCCATTTTCTTCAAGTTTTTCTTCATTTTAATCCCAATTTGACCTCTCCAAATCCTCCAAAGCTCGTGAACTCGCCCGATTAATAATCTACGTACGCTTGAATATTCCCCCACATCTAGCAAATTTAAAGTTTATTTCTCTCCAAGTCTTCAAATAATCATCAAGATCACTCCATGCATCATCTCCACTACCCATCAAGCCCAACATCATTTTTGTCTACCAAATCTCATTGCCTCCCATACGTCCCGAACACTCCCGCTCCGCTAGACCCGAAAACCTGCAATTATGCTCACAAGATTCGAAAGTACCTGAAATAGTCATAAAATAACAAAAAGGAAAATATGCATGGAAATTATCTAAATTATGAATGAAATATGCTAAAATAAACTATAAAAAGAAGTAAACAAAACTAACTATCAAATCACCCCAAGCTTAAACCTTACTTGTCCTCAAGTAAGACAAGACTAAAATGAACTTGGGATGAACTATCCTAGAGAAAATAAAAAAGAATGGGTAGAACCGCAGAACCTGATCACAGTTAGTCAACATGGTCAGAATTGATCTTGCTATTACCTTACGAATTTTTCATCCGATGACACCGGTACCATAAACCACAACCAGGACAACTCCTTTAGGTGAGTAAGGAGGGATGAGCAGTCGCAGCCTCAATGGAACATGCATACAATGAAGAATACCTGTAGTAGGGAAAAAGCAGCTGGATGGGCTCGGGTGGAGCTCTTCTTTAAGTGTACACTCTGATCTCACATTTGCCGGTTTCTCTCATGTGTAACTAGGTTTAATCGCTCGAGCACCGTTGTAGGAATCGATTCACTTGGTGTTGGCCCAAACCTCCCGTAGTATCCGACTCGACAGTCTCCCTAACATCACCAATTTGCGAAAAACAACTCGATCTATATACAATAAAACATACCTAAATAAATGAATCAAACGCCGGGTGACCAAAATGTTAAAAATTAGTTCAATAATTGAACGGTCACCCTTCTCAGATTTCTGCAGCTGGGAATTTGTCTGCACAC